GTATTTGTGTAGTTTAAATAAAATTGCTCTGTTTTAAATTACATACATGTCACGGCCAACTGGTGAAGTTTTCATTGTTTACAATAAAGAATTCAACACAGTTAAAAAAATCTTAGCGAAAAATATAATACGGTAAAATAAATGCAGATCAAAGGAACAACACAATTGATTCGTACCGAACTCCGACTGACGATAGCTTACCGTCACCGTCGCGATTTTCCCATCTTTCTTTATAAGCGTGAAAAGAAAAGTTTATTTCTAATAGTTCCTATAGAAAAAAGATTTCTTTCGAAATCAGGCACAAACAACACATTTTGAAGCTCTCGTTGCACTAGGCGGTGATTCACTTTTTCCAGTATTTTTCATTAAAAGTGATATACATGCTAGCACCTGAATCTGCAATCCAAACTTCGCTGTCATCATCAGAGGTTAATAATTACGATGTAGTGACATCAGAAAGATCCGCCGACGCTCTCTCCGATTCATGGGTATTATTCCTGCTTTCCTTTGGACACTCGAGAACTCAACGTCCGTTTACTTTACAAAAAGTGCATTTTGTTCTCTTCCTGAGTTCACTTTCTTGGTGGTCCCTTTCCTAATAACTGCCTTTTGGACATGAAAAACAAGTACATTCACACCTATCTTCTTTAATGAGCCTAATTATAAGGTTAACCTTCTTCCGTTCGGCTTCCGGTGTACAGTCCCAAGCTATTCTAAACCATGAGAATTTGGTTGGTAAGCTGCTAAGTATTCTTCACAAAACCACTGATTCACAAGGTTTTCAAGCGGAGCCCTTAAACCTTTTGCATATACTCTTCAATTTTCATTTTTCAAACGTCTTGCGGCGAACCACAGTTTGGATGCATTTTTTTTCGGCCGAGCTAAGAAGAGTTACCTCAGCTTGCGATGACGTCTTCATCTATATTTTCCACTCGTCCGCGTTTGCTTTGTCGGGCTCGTCTCCAGTCCGAATCCCAACACCTGTGAGTTCTTTGCTTGTTGCAAAAACGTTATCCCAAATTTCTACAAAGAATAGTTGGACCCTTCAATTTTTTTTAATTCCAATACCGCTAAGAGAACTTGTAAAGCACTACCGACTTTAAAAGTAACAACTTTACACTAAGGCGCAGTGAAAACGTGCTGGGCCCATAACCTGTTGAAGTTTTTATTGTTTAGAATAAAGGATTCAACACAGTTAAAAAAATCTTAGGGCAGTTTATTAAAATAAAATTAGTGAAAAATAAAATACCGTAAAATAAATGCAGACCAACGGAACAACGCAGTTGCCTAATATTAAAAACAACCACATTTTGGGATGCTCTTGACAAACTCAATCTAATTATCCAAAAATGACAAATTTAAACAATATAAGTAAAGTTTATCTCTTGAAAATAATTCTACGTAAAAACGGCGCAAACCCACTTTTTACCTTTTCAATAAGCTATAGCCAAACGGGGATAAGAATGCAAAGCTTCCAAAAACATCCGGTATCTAAAAAATCAAAAAGAAAATTCTGTTTACGGCATCTTCCATTTCCCGAAAAACTAGCAGCGCAGCGAAAACCGCATCGCTATATTAAATACCCCGTAAAACCATATAAAAGTGGACACCCGGTACATTAATAATAATAATAACAACAATAATAAATGAGTTTTTTTTTATTGGAGAAAGTTGAGAGCTGAAGCAAAGATTCCTATCTTGACCAAAGGATTGCTCCCATATAGCAATAGAAATATAAACACCAGTTTCATATCACCGACACCCAACAATGTAACTATATAATTTTAGCATCTTATAATAATAATTCTAGTCATGTTCTGCATTAACTATTACAACACTTTTTAATATTTTCCAGAAATTTGTAGTTAATTACGTTCGATCTGATTGCATGGATTTTCAATATTCACCGTCTAAAAATCCACCAATTTTAGTTGAAATAATTGAAAACCAGGGTTCTGAGGCAAAGAAGTACAATTTTTACCATGAAAAATATGTTTCTGTTTCACGTTGCCTCTCTCTCGGGCTATACAAGAAAATCATTAAAAAATAATTGCCTTTCTAGCATATTGCACATAAACCTAGAATTGCACCGAAATTCTTTATAAATCTGCTAAAAATTCCTCCACAATACTTTAAAATTCCCCGAAAATCCTCCAAATTCTCGGAAATATTCAGTGCTCAAAAAATGTAATTGGAATTTCCCTGAAATCCGTTTCCTTAGTACCGTAAAATATCCCAATGATTTTCTGCACGAAATACACTTTTATTTAAGATAAATAAGTAAACAAAATGTATCGAACATTAAAGCGTTTTACTCAAATTGAAATCATCAAAACCGCCATGGAAAGAATTTGGTTTAAACAGGAGAACATGCAGTTTAGATGTATTTTTTCAACATTTTATTGATTGGTTGACACGGGGCAAGAAAAAAAAACAGAATTTAAGTTCAAGGTGGCCTGTGGCGGAATGCTGCCGCAAAAAATTTTCTTTAGGGCAAAGAAGTGGAGTCTAAATGGCCTTATGTTACTTTTTATTATTTCAAGATAACCGTAGCTCCGAATTACGATTTTAATTCATTTAGAGCTAAACTCAAAGGAACCGAAATTGCCCGAGGCCCGCCCTGAACGGTCTGACGGGAATATTTTCGGCAAATTATCCGTGTGGGTTTCATCGAGGAAACAAGGGCTACTCGACTTCCGACGAATTTAAACCGGCTCCGAGCTACCCGCAAAATTCCTCAAAATTAATATCTTCTCTTTAGGGTGGGGAGGTTTTCGTTATCCGCCCATTATTTGATTCACTTTCGTCCACAACAGGACCGGATCAATTAACCAGACAGGTTCTAAATAATACCGGAAATGTGAGAAACTAATCGGGTTTTGCACCGACGGTTTTTGGCACAATTTTTCTTCTTCGGGGGTTTCCTTTGATTTTAGTGATAAATTTATGTAGTCTAATTTTGGTATTTTCCTCACCTTCAGTGTTTTGGAAGTCTGTTTATGGAAAAAACAATTATATCTTAAGTCCTTGTATCATTTATAACAAATGAAGCTTTTAATTATAACTACTGGGATTTTGTTAAAGCTCAACTTATTGAGATATATCGTTCTGATTTGATTATTGAAACTTGCAACATATATAAAATATTTCAAAAAACGTCTCGTTTACAAGGCAATATTATGTATAGAAGGCCTCCAAACATTTTCTTTTATTATTTCTGAAACGGTGTAAGATACCTAAATAAAATTTAGCTTGATTGGTTCACAAAAGTTACTGCTGACAAAATTGTAATATTTTGTAGAGTGTGACTTTATTGACTTCTCTTATTTTTAGTTTCTTGTCCAAAGATCATATTTTTAAAACAACTTTTCATGAGAAAAAAAAACTCTTATTTTAAAGTAAAAAAATGTTTGTTTTTCGAATTTCAGAAATAATTAAAATTAATTTAATTCATTTATTTATTCTAGAAATTTTTGAAACACCAGTAAGTTTCAATTTTTTTCGGTTTTCGATAAAATATTGCTTCCAAATTAAATACAAAATTTATTTGAAAAAACTGTAAATGGTTACCCGTTTTCGTCGTTGGCAAAATATAATTTTTTTAAATAAAATTAAATGATATTTTCGTTGATATTAGTACCTTTTTTTTAGAAAATTGTATCACAATTCCCAATCCATATTTTTTCTTCTTTTTTATGGTTTTTCTGACTGAATTAAAACATTCTCTACGTAGGAGCGCTCGAACCAATTTGGTATAGCATCGAATTCGTGCCAAAACGTATAATGTCGATGCCCTGGAGTATCAGTTCAACTCCGATTCGCAGGTCGGTCTCGGGTACACTAAATCAGTTCCAGAAGTGCTCCCCCTTCATCATCCTCGTACAACGCTACGTCAAATTCAAGACGCTGCGCGTATACATTCGGATTTGTTGTGAAACCCATCCCTTTAGTCGCGTATGATAAATATCTTAACAGCCGCAGAGATCAGCGTTCCTGGGAGAGAGTTACTGACAAAAGACGAGCTTTCTCCGCGTTTACCCCCGACGTTTCTGCGATTTCCTTTTGTGCCGTTGTGGATGTGTTTTGGTCGGGGGGCGGTGGGGGCGCGGCGAAGGGACTCTGTGTGTGCGTTCTTATTAAGTCCGACGGCGTACAACATCTACACCTTCCATTATATGGGTTTAGTTACAATGACACTACGGGAAGCCAATTTGTAAGTGGATTAAATCCGGGCCCCGGATTGTTGCGGATATTTATCCGGTTTTCGTATAATTGGGATTTACCAAATTACGGCAGATTTAATACGCCCGGATTTCTATTGGCCCGCGATTAAGTATACCGGCTATTTATTTTTACTTAAGCCGTTTTCCCTATACCTGTAAGAGTAACGTCCGTCCGCTTTGGCAATAACCTTTACGAACTGCGCGGGATTGCTAATATTGTGTAGCGGATTGCGTAGACTGCGGCGCACTTTAGCAATGTGGTAGCGAACGAGATTCCAAAGTCGCATTTAAGCAGCTTTTAATGGATAAGCAAATATAAGATAGGAAAATTGGCAAACTCCAATTAAATATTTAGAAACAAATTGAAAATTATTTTAGGATGTATTATAAATATGATCAACGTTGGATTGCATACCGATTGCAAATATTGCGACGGGATTGTAAGGCTTACTGACGAATTTAGCAAAACAGTGTTAAAACCATATTAATAACAAAACTTAAAACGTTATTATATAAGAAACAGAATAGATGAACACATTCAAAAATGTAAAGATGACTACATGTTTGTATGAATTACTTGCGTCTGAACTGCACACCGAGTAAACTCTGCCAAAGTCAGTAGCCACACATCGAATTAATATTTAGAAGCAAGTTTAAATTTACATTAATTACGTGTGGATTGCTCATCGGTGGGATTGCTCTGGGCATTGCACAGATTGCGCATTAAAATAAAGAAAAATAATCGAAAACATCATCATCAAATCACAAACATCTTACCTTTTTTGCTGCTCATATCGTCGGAAAGTACGGTTGGGGGCGGACTTAAGGGCTGCAGCGGAAAAGAGTTGCCTGGCGAGTACCAAGGGCTCGGCCTCCAGCCGCTTTGGTTGCCGTTGAGAAGCCTCAGCTTATCGTAGACGCTGTCATTTCCCGTCGAGGAAGGAGGACTCTGCGTTGCTTGCTCTTTTTGGGCCGCCAGATTTCGCAGCACCCTGTTGATTGATGACACCTGAAAGGGCGAAAAATATGTTTATTTTGGATCACCGTACTATTTGCCGATATGAATGGAAGATGTTGGATGGGGGTACTTAGGATAACCAGATATTATTTAACGTCAGTTGTCATATACATACAGTGTGTTGGCTTAGTTGAGGCACGTTGCAAAGTTTCTTTTCAATGTGTTTCTTAATGAGATAGCGCTTTCGTTTGTCATGATACAGTGAAAAGTTTTATACTTTGAACGATATTCCTAATTTTGCAATAGTTTACAACAGTACAATTGTAATGAAAAACCATATTAAAATTAAAAATTGTTTTTGAACTTTCTAATTTAAGACGGCTGGCAAGTGAAAACGTTCCCACTTCCATTTCTGCTCCGAATATTACTTGGATACCCACGTCTTAAATGCTAGTCCCTCCCATCCACCCCAGTCCCCAACTAAGAAAACTTTTCAATTAAACACGACAGCGTGTGTTATGCACGTATATGTGCTCGCGGAAAAGGTAAAAAAAACAATCCGGACAGATGCAGAATGGATGTTTCAAAGGGGGGAGAGAGTCGAAGATAAAATGGGATTTCAAAAGACGAACTTGCGCGTTTCGTGGAAAAATCCATAAAGTTTTTGTTTTGCCGGGGTGGATAAAAGGACACGACGGAGAACACCGGCGATGCGAAGGAGAAGAGGGTTGCCATGGCAATTTGCATGCATCAAAACGGCGGATCCAAGATTTAATTCGTACGCCGCGAAAATCGGGCCCGGGGGATGATAAAAACGGTGAAGAGGGGAGAAGCGCGGAGGAGTAACGGGGGTAGGGGTGTAAACCGAGCAAAGGTAAAATATAAAACGGCGATTTGCGTTGCAATTTGTGTCGTCACGTTTTACGTCACGGAGAAAGTTTTGGCTCCTCCGCATAAGACCAATTTACATGAACTTTTTTTTAACATAATTTAAATATAATACTGGGGAAAATTATCCATTGGCGTTGTGGTGTTAATACTAGTTAATATTAAATTATTAAAAATTATATTTTCTAAATTGTTTTTAACTCGTTTTCTGCTTAATATTGCAAGTATTTATTATTTTTAATTTGTATTACAAACGAAGCTTACCAATATTATGTTATTATTATAATTACTATCATATAGCAGAAAGCTACTTCCAAAATTATATCCAATTTCAATGTTGATTCAAGACAAAACAAGTTAATCCCGAAGAAATTCATTTTGAGCCCTACAACCTTTGTATAATTTTTTTTTCTAAATTTGGAAATAAATAGGCTAGGAAAAAATACTAAAATCAACCAAATTTGATTTTTCTCAAATACCTCTTACTGCAACACCGACAATTTAATTCTGATAGCGTGGTAACATTATGCATCTAATTAACAACGTTTGTTATAGTAAACAACTTTTATCCCATTTAACTTTTTAATAGAACATTCTATACATTGTTACTTGAGATTGTTTCAAAGATCGTTTTCATAAATATTTACTTTGCCGCTATTTGGCTCAGTCTTGCCTGAAATCACTAAAAAAATATGAAGGAAGAATCAAGCAAGGAATGCAGTGAGTTAGTCTTATATTATATTAACTGTATATAGACAAATACCATAAATATTCACAATTTAGAAGTTCAAGCGTTGTATTCAGGATGTTCATCGAATTATGCGTTTCGTTTGACAGTCCTCGACGGCTGAGAAACGTACAGGTTTTTGTGGTAGGTTCTGTTTAAAATGTTTAACTTTTAAACGTCTGTCAACAATTGAAACCATACGCTTTTAAAAATAAACGCTGAAAATAAAAAAGAACTACTTACACCATGTCAAATTAGGTGTACGGGTTTTGAATGAACTACGGCTGGAGATTTTAAGATAACAGCGACCGAGAGAAAACAACCACCACCACTGATCGCGAAAGAGTCGCATTGATTGGAGCATTTCCCGGCCAGTGAAGCGAGAGAAATCAACTTTAAAACGGCACCGTAACATCCCCTTTTGTCCCTCGCCGCCCAGGCGACAGCTCGTCCTCGCTATCTAACCCTCCGAAAATTTCACTCTCCCCTCCAATCCCGCTCTATTACGTATACACGCGGCTGAAGTATTGGTCACGGATTTGCTGATAAGGGCTTCTAATTACAACCTTGGCCGATACTGGTGGTGCCGGCTGTTTGGTAGCGAACACAAAGAAAATAGAATTTTTTTTTGTCGTGAAAAGCGATTGCATTTAATCACGAAGAATTAGAAGGGCGATATGATGACCCGGCGGAGGAATGGTAACAGTTCGGTTAATCAGGAAGGTGAAGGCAAGAGAAAAATTACCTTTCCTCACAGTAATTTTCATTAAAAAATCTATTTTTCTCTACATTGGAAATACCACTGAACTATCACATTATAGATGTCGCATGGTTATTTATTTATATAAATTTTTTGAAGGTTATGTTAAATATCCGTCACTGGCAGTCAAAAAAATTAATGATTCCGAGAAAAAGATAACAATAGGTATAATGAACAATCGCAACTGAAATATATTGGTAGAGTCCAGTTGGAGCAGTCGTGCAGTTACGTCACGTATAGTGACGTAATCAAAAATGATCCGTACGTCTTAGCGAAAAAATTTTGATATTGACGCGGCTTTTGACACGGATTCCAAACAAACAACAAACAAAACTCCTGTGTCAATTTACGACATCCAGTAATGAACTAGACGAAGATGTCAAGCTATGACTAAAAAATTAAATTAAAACTCTACGCACGGAAATTTGCATTTCTTAAGGAAACATGATAGATATTTTTGTGAAAATTAGCAACCTGTAATTTGTAATAATCAGCGAATATACGTTCTCGGCAACCAGCTTGACAAATGGGTATAATTCTGGGAAGATGTGAAAATGGAAATTCGTAATGTGTTTTATGATTTATACAGATCAAAAACCAATGTAACTCTTCGAATTTTGAAAGAAACTATACAAAAAAATGGTGTTTTGAATATTTCACTTAAATCATCATCAACATTAATAAGAACTTTAGGTTGTTGCTATAAATGAGGCTGTAGTAACCGAAGATATAGAAGATAGCGAGTCAGCGTGTTCAATTTTTAGAGAAATACATATAGTGAAAATTACATATCAAAAATTTAGGAAAGTGTCATTTTTAAAGAAATGTGAATATTTTCCAATAGAAGTGGTTAAAAATCACATGATGTGTCTGCAAAATGTCTCAAGATGTAGCACGGGAAAAAGGTGATGATGATGATGATGATGATCATTCGTATAATTAGTCACCTTTGGATCCGCGTCATAAAACTAGATTTGACTATATGGTTAGGCTAGCGATAAAAGCAACCGAAACAAATGCTTTGTTTTTCCTAATCAGTTCAACGCCATATCATACCTACACCAATCGTAGTAGACCAAGGTAGAACAACGTTAAAAGGGGTGAAAAATAAAACCTATAAGGCTGGAAACAGAGTCAGGACGCAGTTTGGTCGATTCATTTCAAGTAATTTTCATCACTCGTGGTAAGTATGAGCAACAAGATGTCGAAGAACATTAATCACATGAAAAGTTGGAAAATTTTTAAGATACTGTTCTCCTCAGATGTCAGATAATATTTTCCTCAAGATACTTAACGATTTACTAGACCGATTTCAATAAATTTCGGTCTTTGGAAAGTAACTTCTTGATGTTACGGTGCTTCCTTAAAATGATTTTTTTTGCAGGTGATAATTCTCTATAACCAAGTGTCTCAAAAGATGGAAACGCTGATAGCTTCGAAATTCACTGTGAGAACTAACCCTTTCTCCTAAGTATACAGTAATGATCAACGAGAGCGATCAGCAGCCCTTTGCGGCAGACGTGGGACCCCGAAAGTTCTCATCAAGATTGCATCGGTATTTGAAAATTAAAATCCAAACAATCGTCTGCATGCCCTTGATTGCGAACGAGTACCGTGAGTCGAAAAAAAGTCTTTTCTATTAGTCGACGTCGATGTTGTCAATGTAAGCAGGTCACACAATGAACGACGGGATATCTCTATCGGTTGCCATTCAGCGACGCCCCGTGATACCCTATTACGACCTTTTTTTCCTTGGCTCCATTGTCCGCGCAAAAATAATACCGGCTACACCCTTGCGATTAATATTCTCAGACAGAGATGGAGTCGCCTAGACGCGTTTCCTTAATTTGCAAAAATTATCGCCACAGCTCAAGAACTATTCACAACGCGAAAAACGAGTAAACTAATTTTGAAGAGCAGCTCGGAGTTTCGAATTTAAAATGTTTAACATGTTTGTGTGTAAAGCCTTCAAGGTAGGTACATACACTTTTCTCAGAACGACAATATCATCGACATTTTTAAAAAAATATGTCTTACAAATATCTCAAAACGAAACTAATCTTGGTAGGATTGTAGGTGTTTCCAACAAGACGTAAAACACCCAGAACAATGATGTTTGGAAGATACTAGAACGTATTTTGTTTTTTGTTCCCAACATAATAACATTTTATGTTGTATTGTTTTAAAAAAGTCCGTAAGTATTTGTCAATAGACAAACACGAAAATTCTCAAAAATTGACTGTTGGAGAAACAAGGTATGGCTGAAGAGAGTTTGAACCTGAGATTTAAAGAAAAAAGGATATTATATTAGACAAGAAATACTCAAACAATCTACAACAAGATAGCATCGAATGTAAGAAAAAAGGCACCAGAATATATATGCTTTCCTTTGTTTGGCTTGACTTAACTTGGCTCTCCGTGAGAGAGATGCTTTTAGGCAGTCAAAACATAATAAACTACAAGATTCATCAAAGTTAATAACGCCAAAGATATAATGGCTCCATTTTGAGTTTACCAGCACTTCTAGTCCTTTTTGCTCATTTGGGACATTAGAAGGATTACGTAGTCACTTAGCAGACTGGCTAGCATTATTAGCCAGGAAAATCCGTCTAAATTAAAGATCTGAATCCATCCCTGCCTCTTATATGACGTATTAATAGAAACACTTTGTTTTTA